AGGAATAAGGTTCATGAGTTGCGTCTCATTTTAAACGAATCTCGTCCCGACATACTTGATTTCACTAAAACGTGGTTGTCTCCGGATATCACGGACGGCGAGGTATGTTTACCTGGCTACGCGCTGCTTAGAACTGATCGCTCCGTTGATTGTCAAGACGGAGGCGTAATTTATGTGAGCTGTAAGTTAGACGCGTTGAGGACCTGCACATTTCAGTCGTCGGATCAGACGGTTTAATCCCTATATTCTGTTATGTGCACTTCCTCTACCCAGTTTACAGTTGCAGTGATATATAGGAATACTGGAAGTTCCTGCAGGGGGATACTTGAAGTTATTCGCACTTATTCCGCGAATAAGTACTTAGTTCTAGAGGATTTTAACCTCTCGAAAGTCTGTTGGGCACCTCTTACTTGTAGTTCGGCGTCAGGAACATTCGGTGCAGACTTTCTTGAGCTGACTCTCTAAGTGCCTTTGCACCAGTTCGTGGACTTCCCCAGTTATCAAGAGACAAGAAATGCCTGTAAGCAACATCTCAGGATTGCTCGTCTCCAGTACGAGCAGGGTTTAGCGGACTTGGCAGCAGCTAATCCGCGTCCGGAAAGACTAAGCATGTGGTACATTGATTGCTATAGTGTTCGTAACAAACGGGGAGGGTTAGTGACAAGTTGTGAGTATGTTGTTGTGGCTGCTTTTTCGGAGGGCTGGCTTTCTCCAAACGACCTTATTAGTGATCAGCTTACAAACTTCACGATATGCAGAGCTGATAGGCCCGGGCATCAGTCTGGTGGAGTCCCCTTGCTTATAAATTACCAATATAAGTACGGGGAGGTTTTATTTACCATGAATTCTGCAAACCTTTAGGTGGTATACTGCTTTTTAAGAGCGTGGGGCAGATTGAAGATTATAGTCTGTCTGTCTGTCCTAGCCCATCCACGCGACGGGGATTTTGATACGTTACTAAGACAGTCGGCGATGGTCGCACCTAATTCCCTGATGGATGGTAACCTAAACCTTCCCCACGCTGATTGGCAGCATGCTGAAAACAGCGCAGGTACCCTGGAGAAGGAATTAGTGGGTTGGATGCACGAAAATGAGTTCGAGCAATACGACAATTTTCCGACCAGGAGTCCCATTGGCAGTACCCCTTCATGATCGCCAGACATAGTCACTTGATTGACCTACGCCTGGAGCCACCCATAGGTAAAAGTGATCATTGGCCTTTTACTTTTCCTCTGAACACTCCGAGGCTTACAGAGAATCATCGAATGGGGAGGAACTTAAATCGCATTGATTTTTCGAAGCTGTGCGATCGAGCTCTTCAAATCACTTGGATCTCTGGACGGGACCAGGCCTCTTTAGAACAGAGGTGGCTTTTACTCAAAAGTGGGCTCGTGCAGTTACTGAACGAATTTGCTCCCCTACACCCTAGGAGACGTTTTGGCAAACCCCGATGATGAGGTAGATTGACAGAGCGATAAAGAGGCGCAATGCTAAGTGAAGAAAATACCAGGAAACTCGGAGCTTCCGATGTTGGCTGCAATAAAAAGGTGTCGGAAGATGGCTATTAAGTTTAAGCGGCAGGTGAAGTGCTCGTACGAGCTTAAGTTGACTAAGTTTGTGAAAACAAATCCCAAGTGTTATTACAACTAGGTCCATTCAAAGGCTTCTCTAAGAGATGCGGTCGGCTTTCTAACCATGGAGGATAAAAACCAGGCTATGGACGACATTGATAAGGTATAAGTGCTACATGTCTTCCAAAATCTGCATCAGAAAGATAGTGGGTCAGTCTTGTCATCATAATCGCACTGCTCAAGTAGCTATGCAATGCGGAAATTATCCTCATTGTACTACAGGTCTTCACAGTGTTGGCTAGCTTAAGCCCTTATAAATCAGCCAGTCCTGACAGTGTACATTCCGCCATCGTTAAGCCACTGGCTGGTATCCTTCAGTATCCAGTCGCGGAGTTATTCAACCAATCTCTTCAAGAAGGCAAGCTGCCACATGATTGGAAGGAGGCGACTGTTGTTGCCATCCTCAAGGGGGGTTCCAAGTCGGCGCCTCTTAACTATAGACCTGTTAGTTTGACCAGCATCATGCTGAAGTGCTTGGAAAAGCTTATAAGAAATAAGATCTGTGAGCATTTGACTGAGCACAATCTAATTAGATCGGAACAGCATGGCTTTCTTAGAAGGAGGTCAAGTCTTTTTAATTTGTTATGCTTTTTTAGATGAGATTACCCGATGTCTTGATAGTGGGATGCCGGTAGATGTGTGCTATTTGGACTTCAGTAAAGCCTTTGACTCAGAATCAACGACTTTAATTAAGAAGCTGACATGGTTTGGACTGCATCCCAAACTGTTACTGCGGCTTTCTGAATTCTTACGTGGAAGAACATTCAGAGTCAGGGTTGGAAAAACGAGTTCTAGTGTGGGCCTTGCCTACGGCCCTCTCCCCCAAGGTTCGGCACCGGGTCTATTATTGTTTCTTATGTTTATAAACGATATGGCCCCTCTTCTTGAGGATCCCTGTTACATTTTTGCAGATGACTTAAAACTAGTCAGTAGGGGAAATCGAGCGACATTGGCTAAGGACATCATCACTGTGGTGAGTTGGATAAATGCCCATAGCTTAAAGCTAACGTGCTTGTCTTGTAATCTGAGGGCGCCGGCTCAAGCCTGCGTAGGGACCGGGCGACGCTTGCAGTATCCTTAGCTCACGTGCAACCGGTGGTGGTTGCGCGGCAGCGAGACGTCGGTATTGCATGCCGGCGTACTTCTGACGCCATTTTTGAGTACTCGTGTTGCCTCATCAATGAAACGCTGAATGGTTTGAGCAGCGTTTCTGAGGCCAAACGGCATTCTGAGATATTCAAATGGGTCAAACAGCGAGATTACTGCGGTTTTAGGTATGTCGTCCAGCCTCATCGGTATCTGATGGTAGGCGCGCACTGGGTCGATTTTGCTCAAGACCGACTTACCAGCTAGTGCTCCCGTGGCGGAGCTGTACGTTATCAAGCGCGTCCCCAGGTTGCGGATTGGGGAATGCCTACCTTGTGAAAGTAACTCTGTATAAGTCTAGTCTGCTCTGCATGAGAGAGGAATAACCAATCGCGCATAATCAGCGGCAGCGTCTCAGAGCGTCTAGGATTCTGGGCTGGTCACCTGGTTAGCCATCAAATACCACAAGAGCTCGTACGGCGCTATGTCAAAGCCAATGTGACCACCTATAGGGTCACTGACCACTCACTTCTCTAACTGGAGGTGAGTATTTAACGGAGGGTGGATGGACAACGTTGCTGGCCCCGGCTTCCCTGTGGGCTGCAACCGGACACAAACAAGGCGAATGAGCCACCTGGTTGTCAACGGTCTTCGTATTCGCCCCACTGCCTTGCGGATCAGGTCTTTAAAACCAAAGGCTCGGGGTGGGGTCCCTTAAGTCAACCCTCTTCTTCGGCCTGGGCAACTAGGAAGCTCTCTGCCCACACAACACATGGATCTTCGTATCCCTTTCTCTGACTTCCTCCATATATATATATATATATATATATATATATATATATATATATATATATCCGCGTTGGTGACTGCGCTGCACCACTTGGTGCAACGCGTGTGGATTGAGGATGAGGTGCCTGCTGAGCTGTAAGGTGCCCTTGTGCTACCACTGTACAAGGGCAAAGGTAGCAAGCAATGTTACACGAATTTGCTTCAGTGGATGGCTCTCCCTTGCGAAACGTGGTCACGTCACCTTCCGCTCACCACTGGCTGAAGGACCCCACCAGGATTTTTCCACGTCTTTTCATACGGGGTGTCCAACTACGGAGGGTGTTCTTTCTACCAAAACGCGACGGAGCAGAGGCAGATCTACAAATGACCCGGCTTCTCTCAACTGCCGCGGGAGCTGCGGACAAAAAGAGACTCTGTCACATGTTCTTCAGGCGTGCTGCATCACGCATGATGTCCGCTGTAAACGTCATAATGAAATTGCCCAACAGATTGCCAGGCAATTGCAGCGCCGAAGCATTAACATTGTTATGGAGCCGAGGATTCCGACAGCCACCTCCTTCATCAAGCCAGACCTGCTTGCGGTTAGAAATTCTACGGTTCACATTGTGGACGTGGCCATCTGTGACGCGTACCGAATGGATTGTACTTATAAACTGAAAGTGGATAAATACGGGTCAGGGGAGAATGCCGCAGCCATATCGCGATACATACGTGAACAGTTTCCTGAGACGACAAATATTGTTCACCACCCCGTCGTTATCAATAATCGAGGGATGATATATTCCACCTCAGCCAAACATCTTACCGCACTCGGGATGACATCACTTGATATTTCTGACCTCTGTGTTTCTACTCTTCGTCTGACTCTGAAGGTCTACGACACCTACATGCGTGGTGCATCATCACGCCTTACATAACATGCACCCAATCCCACACGGTGACAATTGACGCGGTTCCGACCACTGTTTGAAGTTTTATTTCAATCAGTGTTTCCTATTCTGCCGGAACATTCGTCCTCTCTTGGCATATTGCTGTACAGCTCATCCCTCGAGCCATGCATGCAAATGTCAAAAATAAATGTTAATGGCATCATCTTGCTGAGTTGTTTGGGCAAGATGATTGCCCGAATCCTGCTCAACCGTCTCGTCAATCAGGTTGTGGAACCAAACGTGGCGGAAGAGCAGTGTGGATTCCGTTCGGGTCGCAGCACTTTGGATATGATGCTTGCGGCTCGTCAGTTGCAGGAGAAGTGCACTCGCTTTTTGTTCATTTCACCAAAGCATTTGATACGGTGAACCGTGAGGCATTGTGCCTGGTGTTGGTAAGTTTGGTTGCCCGCGTAAGTTTACAAGTTTAATTGAATGTCTGCACAGTGGCATGCGAGCGAGGGTGCAGCTGAGTAGAGAGACCTCGGACGACTTTGCAGTTGTCACTGGTGTGAAGCAAGGCTGTGTCTTAGCTCCTAGCCTGTTTAATATATACCTTCATGCCACGATGTCTTGTGCTTTTGAATCGGCTTGTGCTTATGGTGTTCGTGTGAAGCACCGTATTGATGGTGGGTTGCTGAACATCCGTCGTTTCGGTGCGAGAACCCTAGTCTGTGAGACAACTATCCGTATGTTACTGTTTGCTGACGACTGTGCATTGTTTGCACACAGCGCGGATGAGCTGCAGCACATGACTAGTGCCCTGGCTCCTACAGCCGCCAAATTCGGGCTCACCATCAACACAAGCAAAACTGTCTGTCTCTTTCAGCCTTCACCGGAAGTGCAATCTTCAATATTGCCGCGAATCAGCATTAGTACTGAAGTATTGGAAACCACCTCCCGCTTCTGCTACCTTGGGAGTGTGATGTCGACTGATCAGCAGCTACACGTTGAGTTGCGTAATCGCGTGTCGAAGGCGGCAGCGGCATTCGGGAAGCTAGAGTACCGAGTGTGAAACAACCATCAGCTTACCATTGGCACCAAGCTGATGGTGTACAAATCCATGGTGCTGTCCGTTCTTCTATACAGCAGTGAAACGTGGACGATGTACCGGCGGGGTGTGCGATATCTCGAGCGGTTCCATCAGCAGTATTTGCGACGGATTTTGCGCATCAGTTGGGGCGACAGAGTTGCTGACACGAAAGTGTTGCGACAAAGTGGAGTGCATGCAGTGGACTGCATACTTTTGCTGAGACACCTGAGGCGGCTTGATCATATGAGCCGTAAGGATTCGACGCGGATACCGAAACAACTTTTATACGGTCAGCTGAGTATTGGGAAGCGGCATGTGGGGAAACCAAAGTTACGTTACCAGGACATGATCAAAGTGAGCCTCTCACGTTCTAATCATGATTGCAGATCATGGGAATTGAAGGCGGTTGATCGGCGTGCATGGCGCAATCTGATCACGAAGGCCGTTGCTGAGGTGCTAGGGGAAAGACCTCATACATGGGTTGTACTCCATCGACATCGAGCGCATGGTGCTGTAGCACATGCGGTCGCGAGTGCCTGTGTCAGGCAGGCCTAGTGAGCCATGAGCGAGGCCACTCGGGACTACCGGCGAAACGACGACGGGTCCTGCAGAGAACGTGCGCAGAGCCGGCGCAGCGTTTGTAGGTACGCTGCATTCGATTTATTAACCGCGGGCTTGCATGCTAAGTCTATTTATTTCGAGTGGTGGGTTTTCAATTTTGTCCTAATGCTTTTCTTTCTCATATAAACGCCTACCTATACTCTCTTATATAAGCTTGCACACGTCGCTTAAGCTAATTGTGATTAATTTCAATAACATTTTCGTGTTTGTGGCATTTCCTTAAAATATCCCTTCCGACCTCGTGAACTTATCTCGGGTTCATTTGTAAACAACTTATTTCATATGCTCATTAATTTAAGATTAATAGCACCTTTTCTGTATGTATTGCTCGATTTATTTTATTTGTTGTATTTCTCTCAATGATTGGCTGTTGCTTGATATCCCCGGTGTGGCTGCGCTTCATGTACATGTTGACAAGGTCCTACCTGTCTAATACCCACTGCCTCGTCCATACTGGCTCCAGGAGACAGTTGGTCGTTGCTGGAGGGAACGGGGTGCACGGTCCTTGTGGCCGTCCTAGGCTCGAAGAGTGATTCCATGCACTCAGTGTGGAGCGGACTACAGTCCAGCCACCGCCTTGTGTGCACTTGATTCCCCAAATACAGCGTGCTTGTGTTTGCCTGTGAACCAGTGTGGGCCGACTCCGGTGACGAAACGTGGCTCCCATCCACCTGCCTCCCGGTCTTATTCCTTCGGGTTTACACTGGATATGGGGTGTGTGGATGGAGCTGTGTGTGGTGCAGCGCAAGCCACCCATGGTCCCTCTGCAGGCGCAGGCGTCCTGTAGCTGGTCACAGTGACAGGCAAATCCGAAACCGGATGCCACCAACCATTACACGAATGCTTTTGACGAAAGCCATGTTGCTCTGGAACTATTGAGTTGTGGCTTTCCAGATACTGCATCAGTGCATCTACGATGATTGGTTCCATCACTTTGGAGAGTACAGGAAGTCGTGTTATTGGACGGTAGTTGGCAAGATCAGTGCAGCTACCCCTTTATGGATAGGAGTGATGACCCCTCACTTCCATACTGGTGGAAGACGGTGCTCTTTCAAAAATCGCTGATCGAAAACAGCCATCGGTTTTGCTAGATCACTAGCTACCGCCTGCAGACCCTTTGGTCGGATGTTGTCGGCTCCGGGAGAACTGGATAAGCAAGCATAACAACTTCTTCAACACAGCTTCCGCGATGAACGTGACGTTGTCTAAACCCAACGGTGGAGTATTAGCAATGAGGAGAATGTTTGTCCTCGTTACCTCCTGGAAAGTTCGGGAGTAATGAAGCCGTAGGAGGTCAGCTGCTTCCATTGCTGATCGCGTGCATCTATCAGCCGTGACTAGTGCTGGTACCCCCCGCTTCACCTTTCGAAGGCCGTTGACGTGCCTGAACAGGAATTTGCGGTTCGTGCAGAATCGCTTCATTAACTCCTGCTGATGAGTGACCTGGTCTTTGCGGATCAGTTTCACACAGAAGTTACGATGGGTCACGTATGTAGTCCAGGTTTCGGCATTCGAGCAGTTCTGGTGATCTCACCATGCCAAATCCCTCCGGGACATACATTTACGTGTCCTGCTCCTCAGAAATGAATTACGCTTGTTTTCAGGTTGGGAGGACTTCTGCTCTGATGCGTGCGCTACCAGTGTACTAAACGTCCTTGTAAATGTTTCCCAGGGAACATCTGGGGGGCATTCGGTTAAGAAAGTCCAAGATGTATCCTTACCAAGCTTGGACAACATATTGTAGTGTGTGACAGTATGCACTTTATCCTCCTCCTTTTCAGGGTATTCCGCATAGCAAATATAGTCAAAGAGTAGAGTAGCATGATCACTACGACCCAGTGGTGTGCTTGTAACTATCCCATCAACCATGAGTGCTTCGTTAGTTAACACAAGATCCAGTATCAACGGCTTGTTAGCGGTTCGAAATCTGGTGGGGGAGGTTACGCGGTTGTAAAGAGGGTGGCTAGCAATAAGCTCTTGCAAACAAGCTTAAAAACTGCGTACCGTCGGTTGCCGGCGTTTCTATGTCGTGCACGTTAATGTCTCCCGCGATAAGAATGTGGGTGTAGGACTTGTTCAAAGCAAACTGAAAAACGTTGTTCAGTTTGGAGTACATTTCCGACGCTGAGTTTCGTTGGCGATAAATCACGGCTAGTAGACATGTGTCCTTGTTTCGCAACCATAGGCGACACCAAAGCGAATCAGGAGCTCGGATTTCCGGATGATCTATAATTTCACATCGGAGATTTGTATTATAGTAAAGAAGCACACCGCCACCCCTTCCGGTTCTATCGGTCCGAAGCGGTGACATACCGGGTAAATTGATCTCAGAATCGGTTATCTCAGGGTTTAACCATGTCTCTGTAATCATGACGAGGTCCCGCGGTTTTGAGGCATGGAGTTCTCTAAGTTCTGCCAACTTGCTTAGAAGGCCTTGGGCGTTTGTATACATGCAAGATAGAGCTTTTGTTGTTAGGAGTTCATTGATAGATGTCAAGTTTGTGTTCGCTTTTAAGCCGGCCGTTAGGTGGCCGGCAGCCGGCCATTAGGTTTGACATCACCAGTGTGGTGTCTGGGCTTCGTTATGCTGCTGAAATCCTGTAACAAATCCAAATCCATTGGAATGGATGGAGGTGGGGGTTTTCGTCGAGATTCGACACCTCAAGAGATTCAAGTCACCCGTCTCGGACAAACTTCTTCCGGAGATTCTTGGAATATAATTGGAACCGATCGAGTAATCATGGGCACAGAGAGGTTTGGAAACAATCGGTTGGTATAGTAGTTTGGTAACTTTTCACTCGACTCAAAATGTTCGTCAGACCAGATGAATCAGTGTGCAATTGGAGTTGGATTTTACAACGAACAAAGGCGATAACCATGTTAGCCGATACTTCAGCCAAGGTGCTATTACAGTCACAGTTTATGATGTCACCTCAAGTGGTTCAATCACAGTGGGAATAGTCCAGGTGTTCCTTTGTGCGTCATGGCACTGACGGATAAGCCCATAATGTTGACGGTCGGTTTGCACTTTCCACTCCGATCCAGGCACCGAGGTTCGTCAGGCTGGCGGTCTTAAGATCGCTCGACATGCATTAGGGAGTATTATCCCCTCCATTCTATTCACCTGAAAAATGGTTATGAGTTCGATCAAATAATATCAAGTCCCGAAATCGAGCAAGTTGAGTTGATGGTAAGCTTCGATGTGACATCACTTTTCGCCAATGTACCCAAAGAAGTGGCGTTAGGCATGACAAGTTTGCAAGTTCCATCGAATTGCTTCCAAGTTTTGGCCCTTCGCTTGCTACCTTTAGCCGGATTGCTGTTGGCAACCTAACTCGAAACTTTAACCAGCTGTCCAGCAGAACTTGCGTCATTCCCTCGGAGTGTAATATTACCTTCTTTGGCATTTGACGGCAACCCTAGTAGTTAGGTGATGACTGAACTCTTGTTAAGTATTTGACAATAACATTGTCAACAGAGAGTGCTTCGCGGATGTAGCACCACTGCTCTCTCATGTGTTTGCGCATCGTGATCAGAAGAATGCATAAGCTCTGGAACACCATGAACAAATATTGTTTCCTTGCTATCCCTATTAGGAATACCGCGTTGCTCAAGTGCTTCATTTTGGGCCATCTTTCCAAGGTAGATCAAGTAATATGCGCACTCCGCTCGGTGAGTTGCGAAGACGAACTGCTGAGAGCAGGACAGCCTCTGTCTCGTCAGCTGAGTCTAGTGTTACTCGAAGAATTCGAGGTTCACCAGAGTGCACTGAGGTCGGGTGACGCGCTACGCGTTGCAACATTGCAGGCTCAACCCGAATAACAATCGCCTCGCAGCTGGAATTCCACTTTTTGCGATCTTCTTGCAACTTGCATTTTATTGTGTCAGATTTGGATTCGGGAACATTGGTGCACATGAGAGTTAACGCAGCGTGGTTTTGTCTAACGAGTGTTGGCTTTATACTGTTTGCCGGCAATTCAGGTTGTTTAGAAGGCACCACTGGAATTGAAGGTGCAAGCTGCTTTGAGCCACGCGTGCTCGGTACAGAAGATGGACCTATGTGTGTCGCTCCCGGTGTGTTTGTCGAGGCAATTGATGCGTACCATACCTGCTTGTTATCTCCACCAGATTGCCTTCGGCTCTGAGCTGTCGGTGTCATGGCTGAATCTCCAAGTGAAGCGTCTATGGTTGGAGAAGTGGAAGCAGGCATGCTTGAGGCTTGTTCACTTATGGGAGTGAGGTGACCCAGTGGATTTAGAGTCACAGGCACTGCAGTGCAGTTGGAGCGTCTAGCTCTCTTCTTTGGCATAGATTCTGAGATTACTTTGGCTGGGTGAGATATTATCGTGGCCATATTTACC